TGTTTAGAGTCCTTTACACTTTCCCTTCCAGACTAAGGTTTCTTGGAAGAGTTCTTGGCTACATCATTCAGCTGAACATAAAACCATTTCCAATCTACTATTTCTCCCTTTCTGATTTGTGCTCACTAATATGATGTTATCTTGCACAATTATTGTAATTTTCCGAAACTTCAGCTCAACCAGTGATGGAAGCGTGATAAAATAAAAAGTACCTGATGGACATCTTGACATGGTGATATTAACAAGATGATGAATTGATAGGATGTTTTGAGTTAGTACAACTGGTAATGCACAGAAATTATTGTGCATTACTAATTCTGCTTAATGCACCAGAAGTTCCCCACTGCCCTCCCTGGAGAATCTTGTAAAATCATTTTTCTTAGGAAAAGTGACTGATGATGTTTTTTCCCTGTCAGGTCTTTTAAATCTTTGGTTATAATGACCAAAGGTAACGCTCAAAGTATTTAATAGCTAGTGGTAAGTATGTATGCACTACCAATCAGAGAGTGCCCAATATCCTATCAGAAGGTGTCCTGGGGTAACATCCAATGAGGCCACACACACCATGAAAATGTCCAGTAAAATCACACCAGGTGAGCATCATCAGCTGATTACAATTCTTCTGTGTTCTACTCAGGCCTTTTACACCAATTGTGTTTATAAGGGAGCACAAAACTTATTTTGGTAGGTTTGGTCTTTGTCGGGATGAAGTCCACCAGTGCAATAGCTCCTCTGACATTTTAGCATCTGCTGTCACCTATAAGAGTTATAGACTACATGGAAGTATTTTTAGTGTCACATAGGTCAAGAGTTAAATGCCGTACAGGTCATAGAAACATAAAGGAGATCTGAGGTATTCAAGGACTAGTTGGAAAATGTTCTGAACCTACTAGGGGGCTAAAAATAGCAATCTTCAGTGTATAATGACTACCACAAAGATAATGACTTCAAATGGACACATTTTTAAAGGGGTAATTCTTTTAAATGGTATTGCTTCCCTGGTTACTCTTCTCCAAAACAAAATCTGGAATCTTTTTCTAGGTTGTACAGTTGGTAACTATTCCTGGTTACTTAAGGCCTAGTTTAAACAGTAAAATAAATGAGTATCAAAACTTTATTCATCAGTTCTTTAAGGAAAAAAATAATGAATCATGCAGAATCAGAATAATTATGTTGTGAAAGGCATATTGGCAAAAACATGTCCCCAGTTGAGTGAGTAGTAGATTGCTCTTTTCCCACTTACTCATTCCAACAAAGACTGACTCATGCTTCTTTAGACAAAGTTTAAAAAATTCCCATTTTGGACAGCAATTGCAATAGAGTATAAAGTTTAATTGGAAGAAATCTCAAGGAAATGATAAATGTGGGTTGTGCTATTTGCACCTGTGTAAACATGTACTGTCCAGCATCATGGTCCTTCCAGTCAAGGGCTTTTCTCTTATGCCACCTCTCCCTGCATTTATAGAAAAAAAAAATTAAGATTTAGGACGAAGCCTTCTGAGAGGTAGGGGTGTGTGTGTGTGTGTGTGTGTACAAAATGATTGGGAGAAGAAAGAGTTCTTGGAGGATAGTAGGAACAGCCAGAGAATAGGGAGAAATCTATCTGGGAAAGAAATAAGCATGGTGGTTGTAGAACGTGATTCTCAAAATGTGCCCCCACAACCACAGCATCACATCACTTGGCCACTTTCCTAGGAATGTAAATTCTCAGGTGCAACCCCAGACCTTCTGGATCAAAAACACTAGGGTGGCTCCAGCAAACTGTTTTGTTTGGTGTTTGTTCAAACCTCCAGGTGATTCTGATATGGTTGAATTTTAGAACCACTAGTTTAAATGACAGTGAAAATCTACTTGGGTAACTGGACAAGAGTGATATTCCACAAATTGCAGTGAACAACCACCTCCTGCCTTTGGTTCTGAGATGTTATGATCCTGTAAGAGCATAGCTGCATGAGGCATCATTCTTGGTTCTTATGTGGTTTAGAACTTCTAATTGTATTCCACTGGGTTATAACTATTTTTTTTAAATCAAGGGTTATTTACCTCAGAAGAATTCTGGGTAAAAATTGTTCCTTTCTTCTCTCTTCTCACCAAGAAATTAAAGAGTTTAGGTAGATTTCTGTATAAATTGGTTTTCTATTTAAAATTTACTTTATCTTTTTGAAAAATATCTTTTAATTTAAATATTTTTTCTCATTTTCATTTGATTTGTTTAATTTTGCAGAGGGATGTGAACTTAGTTTTCCTATTTTAAAGTTTTGGCTACCTATGGTGTGCTAAGAGCTTTAGTTTTGGACATTATGTTTGGTAAAATCAACCACAGAATTTTGAGAATTTGCCAAGAAACTTGAGATTCAGTGCAAATTGAATAGTACATAATTCTGCTTTTCACCCAATCTTTCCATATAGTTTCACCTATCTGAGAAAAAAATTGCTATTGCATTGTTTTTTAACACCTTTACTGTAGTATGATTTTTGTACAGTAAACTACACATATTTCAAATGTACAATTCGATGAATTTTGATAGATGTATACACCTATGAAACCACCACCACAATCAAGATAGCTAACATTTCCATCACTCACCAAGAGGTGCAAATTTCAAACTCCCGATTTATCCCTTCCCACCCCCTTTACCCACTGGTAACCTTAAGTTTGTTCTCTATGTTTGTCAGTCTGTTTCTGTTTTGTAGATAAGTTCATTTGTCTCCTTTTTTTTTAAGATGACACATATAAGTGATATTATATGGTATTTTTCTTTCTCTTTCTGGCTCATTTCACTTACCATTTGAATTTTTATGAGAGAATCTTTGCATTTGTTTATTCATTATGTTTGGAAAACATGACCCCTCCTTCCTTTTCTTTCTTTCCCTTTCTTTTTCTTTTCTTTTCCTTCCTCCCTGCTACTCCCCTCTTCTCCCCCTCCTCTTTAATTAATTCCTACTATATACCAGAGAAGGCCTTTAATTTCTTTTAAAAAATAAACTTTTTGGAAATAAAATGCCAAGAACTTCAAAGTAGTGTATAGCCAAAAAGACATGTCAGATGTCAAAGAGGTGCAGTTAACGTGTGAAGGAGAACAAGAAGTAAGGTTTAGCATGACCGAAAATTGGAACTGGAAGGTGGTATAATCTCAGAATTTACTGTTGGGAACCTTGAGTCTGTAAAGGGGTGAATTATATGGCGGCCTGAATTATGGGTAATAAGAGGAAGCTATAACATGCATGAGTAATTATGTCTGGGACAGTCTACTCACCAGCTATTTGACATAGGTTAGTTATGTCCCCACTGTTGAGATTCATTTTTATACTCTAAAAAATCTAATTTAAAATAACCCATTTTTCAGTGTTGTCATAGGATCTAAAGAAAACATATATGCAAAGAAGGCTGAGGCTCAGCAATGCTATGCTACAGTTAGTACGTATGGATGCTTTTAGTTGTAATTCATGTTTTCATATTTGCATGGTACTCCATGGTATTACAACACCACAATTTATTTATCCATTCATAGGGCAAAGGATGTTTTGATTAATTTTAGTTTTTTGTTACTATAGTATAATGAACATTCATGCATATCTTGTCCGGTGCACATGTGCAAGGTTTTACTAGAACAAATACTTGGGATTGGCAATGCTGTCTACTAGGCTGTAAGCATCTTTCCTGGAAATACCAGATTGATTTCTAAGTGGTTGTACTTATTGACACTTCCACTGGATGTGTGTAAAATTTCCCTTTGCTCCTCATCTTTGCTAGTAGTTACTGTTGCCAGATTTTAAAACTTTTGGAAATTTGATGAGTGGTAATTGTATCTCATGTGGTCTCACTTAGCATTCTCCTGATTATGACAAATTGAGCATATTTTAATATATTTAGGGCTTATTTGTGTTTACTTTTTGTGAGAAATGCTTATTCAGATTTTTTTCAAAATGTTCTATAATTTTTTTTTCCTATTGATTTGTGAGAGTCTGCGATATATTTTCTTATTTAGTCATGTGTAATGAAAATATATTCTCCCAGTTTTTGGCTTGTGCATTTACTTCTGTGAACAATGTCCTTTGATATGTAAGATTTCTTATTCGTTTTTTTTTTATAGTTTGCATTTTGTGTTTTTGTACTTTGCTTAAGAAATTTTCTATTTCCAGAAAGCATAAAGATAATTCCTTAGACTCTATTTTTAAGTTTTAAAGTTTGCTTTCCAGTTTTTAAATCTCTTAGAATAGATTTTTGCGTATGATCAACGTAACTTTTTTCAGAAGGGACAACCTATTGTACCGTCACTGTTTCTTGAATAATCTATTTCCACACTGCTGTGCAAGGCTACTTCTGTCATATATCAAGTTTTCATTAAGAGAGTGGGTCTATTTCTGGGGGTATTATGTGCCCTTAGTCTATTTCTGTGCCAAATCCATATTGTCTTACTTAGCACCTATTTATAATAAATACTGTTATCTGGTGGCACACGCCACTTCTATCATGTTTTCCTTCTGGGTTGTCTTGAATAGCAGCCCTTTGCGTTTCCACACAAATTTTAAAATAGCCCAAGAAGTTACAAACATACACATATAAATAAAGGTGATTTTTCTTGAACTGCATTGAATGTAAAGAAAGACTTGGGAAGAATTTCTAGTTTTGTGGTTTTTAGTCTTTCAATGACCAAACAGACAGGGAATGTCTATTTATTGAAGTTTCAACCAACTATTCTTTTTGTTATCCTTGGGATTTTCATTATTACTTTTTTACTGGATCGCTACTGCATTTCTAAGTTTGCTTATTGGTACTAATCCAGGTTCTGAGCATTTTCCAGTGGAATGCTACTACCTCTTTCAAGATATCTTGTCCTTGTCCAGCATCCTACCAGAAGTAGAGGACCTATGCAGAGTATTTTTACATACAGTTTTCTATTTAAACATCTGGGTTACTTTGAATTTGTTTCTTTGCCAACCTGTGTATATATATATGTATATGTATATATACACACGCACATATTTTTACTTTGTAGGTGGGATAATGTTCACCAGTGAAAAAGCCCATTTTGGGGCACCAAGAATTTCACGAAGTAGATCTGAAGGAAATTTGTTTGACATGGAAGTCCAAAAATCCTCAAAAAATTGCACTATTACAGGTACAGGAATTTATAACTATTGTAATTTTTCCATCTATCAGCAGTAACTGTTGGAGGACTACTTCTGGAAAGTGCTACGGAAGATTAAAAGAATTGTAAAATCCCAACTGTATCATAGATATGCTTAAATCATCATTAAAAAGTTGGATAAAATGAAATACTCAACCAACTGATTATAATAAGTATTATGAGGAGGTAAAACCTCATTACTAAATGAGTGGTATATTGATACAATTAATTTGGGGGTTAAAGAGACCTCTGTAGTTTAGAATGGGCTAATAAATCCTAATGGAGTATGAAAGAATTGAGTTGATTCTCAGAGGAAAATTAAGTTCTAAGAGAGTTAGATGAAACTAGATTAGAAGAAAAGTGTAAAAATAAAAGAAATGCAACTTTTCTTTTTCAAAATGTGTCTTCTAATTTTAAATATATGACACTTGAGACTCATTTCAATCAAGATATAGTTCTATATATACCAAACAAAAAAGTCTGAAAGCTTACTTGAATTTATTTTTCTATTTTACTCATTTTCTCTTAAGCTGCACTAGCTTCACAAAGTCCACAGAATGATTGTCACAACATATATTGCAAAATGACCACATATAAGTTGCTCTAAACATAAAAATGCTTCAATATTTTTGCAATATATGGAAATTCATTATAGTTGATATAGAAATATTTTAAAGTGTTGCTAATTCTTAAAATGCTCACTTTCCAAAGTAATAGTGTTTCCATTTCATAGTGGCAATAAGACTGTTCTTTACCATTTTAAACTCAAAAAAGGTTCAGTGAATTCCTTCAAGTAGCGAATCTAATTGCTCTATTTTTTCTATGTTTATTTTCATGAAATGTTCATTTTTCATGAAAAAATTCAATTTACTAAAATTTATCAGTACAACATCATCAAAAAATGATCTAAGAAATGCATGATTGTCTAATTTGGCATGCTATGTTTTAAAAATTATTTTAGCTGTTCACAGATTTTTTTGATATTTTTCACATGTTGATTATTATCAGAAAGAAAAACAGTAAATAAACAATCTAGATGTAATGAGACCAACCACTTAATGTTTCGAAAAATCTGAATAACTGACTGAATTATTCTGTTTGCTCAGAGGTATTCTTTCATGAAATGAAATATGAAACAATTAAGGCAAAGTATATGTAGTCTGGGCCATTTTCAAGAAGATGTATTAAATGATTATTATCTAAATTGATAAACACTTGTTTATAAATCATGTCTTAAGATAAAGTAACATTACACATGGTCAAAATAACCTAGCAGAATAATTTCTCTTTCCTCACAACATGAAAATTTGACTGGATTTAAAATTAATTTTGTAGTATTTATTAGACTCGAGATCAAAAAGCAAATAATCACTCGAATTCTTAAGCTTCAATAAAAAGTAATCTTGGTTGTATCTCAGAATGTCACTTCATCTTTGTTTTGCTTTGTTTTTGTCTAAAGAACAAGAACTTCCAGACCCAAGTTTGCCTCTCAATTGGCCAGATGATGTCACATTTCATGGGAATAATGCTTCCAATGCTATGAATCCATTCTGGAATGAACTGTCTGCTTCTAACCCATTTTTGGATGATATAACTCGGCTAAGAAATCACCACAAGAGAGAAAATATTTCCATCTTGAAGGAGGATCCTTTTCTTTTTTTTAGAGAAATAGAAACTAGAAATTCTTTTGATCCCTCCGGCGATGAACTTGATGTGCATCAATTGCTTAGGCAGTCTTCCTCAAGGAAGTCTGGAAGATCTAAAAGTGTCTCTGAACTTTTGGACATTTTAGATGACACAACACATGCTCATCAGAATATACATAACTCTGACCTGATCCTAGAACAAGACTTAGAATGGCTTCAAAATGATCGAGAGGCTTATAAAATGGCTTGGTTAAGTCAACGCCAGCTGGCCCGCTCCTGCCTGGATTTGAATACAATCAATCAGAGTCCTGGATGGGCCCAAACACAAGTTGCAGAGACCACAATAGTTTGCAAATTAAACCACCAAGGAGGGTCAGTTCAATTACCAGAATCAGATATCACTGTTCATGTGCCCCAAGGCCATGTAGCTGTGGGAGAATTCCAAGAGCTATCTCTAAGGGCTTTTCTAGATCCTCCACAAATGCTTAATCATAATCTTTCATGCACTATAAGCCCGCTGTTGGAAATCATGTTAGGTAACCTTAACACAATGGAAGCCATTTCGCTAGAAATGAAAATCGGGGCTGAAGTGAAAAAGGATCCTTTCAGCCAAGTCATGACAGAAATAGTGTGTTTACACAGCCTGACTAAAGAAGGCCCTTTCAAAGTATTGAACAACTGCTACATTTATAAAGACACCATCCAAGTCAAACTAGTAGACTTGAGTCAGATGATGTATCTTGTTGTTGCTGCACTAGCTAAAGGTACTCAGTCACCAGCTGCCACCATTTGGGATTATATCCACAAAACCACCTCAATTGGAATTTATGGGCCCAGATATATCCATCCCAGTTTCACGGCTATTTTCACAGTTTGTGGACACAGTTATATGCCAGGAAAGCTTACAATCTCTGATATTAAGAAGGGTGGAAAAAATATGTCTTCAGTTGTGTTTCAGCTGTGGGGAAAGCATTCCTTCTTACTTGAAAAGCCACAAGATTTAAGTATTTCTGTCTTTTCTTGTGATCCTGATTTTGAAGTAAAGGTGGAAGGAAAAAGGAAAGAAATTAAACAAAAGCAGTTGCAATCAGGTCAAATAGTTCATCAACAATTTTTATTTTCTTTAGTTGACTCCAGAGAAATGCACTTGTTTGTTTTCCGTGTTCAGGTGGAGCCTCCCAATGGTGGGTTACTTACACAGTTCTTTATCACTACACCTGATCCAGCCCCAAACCTAAAAAGGCTCTCAAATCTGCCAAGTGATTTGCAGAAGGAGAAAGAAATCAAGTCTGCTCCTTTATTACCAAGTGTGCATGTTAAATATCCCAAATTTCAAGACACACAATTGAACTTTACCAACTATGGGGTAACCCTAAAGACAGTGCTAAGGAAAAGCAAAATTGACTACTTACTCGAATATTTCAAAGGTGACACAGTAGCTCTTCTTGGAGAAGGTAAGGTAAAAGCCATTGGGCAGTCCAAGGTGAAAGAATGGTATGTAGGAGTGCTGAGAGGTAAGATTGGACTTATACATTGCAGAAATATCAAGATGATTGCAAAGGAGCAAATAATGTCTCTGTCAGATAGTGTCTTCACAACCAGGAATCTTCTTGAACAAATTGCCCTGCCCTTTAAAACGCTGACTTATATCTATTCAGTTGTATTGACCTTGGTGTCAGAAAAAGTTTATGATTGGAAAGTTTTAGCTAATGTCCTGGGTTATTCACATCTGATGCTGGAAGACTTTGATCAAATACAAGCAGACAAAGAATCAGAAAAAGTTTCTTATGTTGTAAAGAAGTTAAAGGAAGATTGTCATGCAGATAGAAATACCAGGAAGTTTCTTTATGAACTTATTGTGGTAAGTATTGCTTAATCACAGTAATTTATTTACCATAGAGAGCTTTATTAACTTGGCAATATTTATAAGTAAACATATGAGAGTAGTTAAAAGTTCTCAGCATTCTTAAATAAGTTGAAGTCACTGTATAGCCAATATAGAGCTTTTCGTAGTAGATCATATAACTGATTTCTTAGATTTGACACTCTGTTGTGACTTTCCCAAAAACTAGACCCCTAAGGATTATCCTTTAGTGGAAGATTAAATATTTTGTTTGTGCTAGAATATAACTATTAAGAAATCTCTTCTTTTCCTCTCTCAAATATTTAAGTAGCTCTTAAAATATCAGGGAAGCTCCAATAATATGAAAGCAAATAAGAGGAAACTGAAAAAAAACTAGTTAATTTAGCCATTGCTATGGGTTCACTTTCTAGTGTTTTTAGAACATATATCATCAGTGTTCTTAACTTTAGCAATTTAATATTTGGATGCAATGTATCCAAATCCAAAAATGATGTTGCTAATTCTCTTTTTCCTCATGTTTTAATGGGACTCTCAGGATTTCTTTTTTTTCCAACATAGCATTCACTCTAGTGTAAGGCTCAGTAGAGAGTTATAAAAAAGATGTTTTCCTTAAGTGTGGAAATTCAGTATTTTGTAAAAGTTAAAAGAAAAAAACCAAGAACATATATATATATAAATGGCTAAAATGTGACTGTATAAATAATAATAATGATAGCTATGACTCCTCTAGGGTTCTCTGTGTGTTTGGCACTGTGTGGAACACGCTAGATACACTATGTCACTTAGCCATTGTAACAACTCTGTGGGGTAAGTCTAGTTAGTATCTTCATCTTACAAATAGAGGAAATTGAGTTTAGGAGGTTGGGCAACTTGCCCAAGGTCTAACAGTTAGTATCAGAGGTAGGATTTGAAACCTGTTTTGTTCCACAGCCACACTATAGACTCCTTCAATTATTTTTATGATTCTACAATGATACTGAGATGGGTTGAATTTTTAAAGCCCAATATCCCATTGTTAAGTGGAGAGTTTTATAATGGTGTGCTGCATTCTCATTTAATCTGGATCATTTACAGTCATTGGCTGATCTACCTGGTTCAAGCTGCACATGCATTTTGCAATAGCTCATTACCTCATGTTCAGCATGGACCCATGAACATTTGACTGGAAAATTGCTTTCTCATTTCTCTTAGTGGCCAAAAAGGTTATATTGGTCGAGTGTTCTGACAGTTTAAGCTAGTTTTACCTACATTGTGTTGGCTTATGATAATTAATTGAGTTGTTTTGGTGACTAACTAGATAGTGCTGGTGGAGAGCTTATTCAAAGGAGTAGTTCCTAAAAATTCAGTGGAGGCTTCAGGATTTCTCAATGGAAGGGGCTTAAGCCTGAGTATCTGACCAGAAGACATTGAAGCATATGGTATTGTAGCTATCTCTTGAAACTCTATTTGCATAGTAAGTGTACATGTTTTTCAATTATGTACTACTTTGGGGCAGCTGGAAAGGAGCTTATAAAGATAGTGGGTTCTAAACCTCTTAGTCATCTCTAGACATTAAGACTGGCTGTCCTTAACTTGAAACTTGACATCTAAATACTTCAGCATCCAATTCAACTTGCATAATGATTACAGGGGCTCAGATAGGATAGTATTAACATTATATCCATTTTAGAAGTTATTAAATAGAGATATTTTATGATTTATCTGAAGTCCTATACTTTATGGAGCTGGATTTTAAATTCAAGTTTTATAACTCTAAGTGCAGATTTCTTCCCCTTAAAACAAGGAATTAGAATAAGTTAAATGCACTCCACAGTTTATTAAAAGCATCTTCAGGGGCCTGATGGCTCATCACTGCTTCTTCCTGAGGTCATAACTCCTCACCATAAATTTATGGATAAATATAGTCGGTGTATAGAGACCATGGATAGTTCTTCTAATGCTTCCATAAGAATGAACACTCTATGGACTTTAATAGTTACCTTACTTGGTCATTCATTTTTACTTATTGTTCATAGTGATAGATAAACCTTTTAAGTGCCATTAAATGATGAGGGGCTACCAAACATGTTCATTTGAACAGAGAAGAGATACAGATTGATCTAATCTCACACTTTAAAAATATATTCAAGGCAAAAGAGAAACTCATAGACTCATTTGAAACATGCATAGTGATTGACAAAGCTCAGATGCCTAATTCAGGGAGAAAGAGTCTGAAGTTTTTCCATCTTGCATTGTGAAGACTAAGTGTTTTATATTTGATACCTTGTGATTTAAATTTAGCATAATTACTTTGATGGTGAAGGGAGAGAGTTAATTTTTAAGTCATAAATAACAATCGCTTTGATCAAGGTTGTTGTAGTGTCTCATTTTTATGCAATATGCATGGTTCTGGGAAGTTTTAAATCACATTTTGATTTAAAAAATAGAATAATGTTTACCAACATCTGTGTGCTCATTCTATAGGAATCTCATAGTCAATCCTCTGATGAGGAAAGTAGTTATTGTTTGTAGAGTGAATAATTATCCCTAGGTTGATAAATTATTAACTACTAGGACCTCAGGCTATCTTTGGATGTGGCTAGTTCACCTTCCTCCTCTTGCAATTAAAGATATTAAGAAACTTATTAGTTAAGTGATTTACCCGAAGCTCTGTAATTAGTTACTTAGTTAGTCCTAAATCTCCCCTAATTCTGTTCTAGTTGTGTCCTCTGCACTTTGCTTGTTGGGTTTGCTTAAACTTAAATCAACTTTCTCAATTTTAGAAAATTCAGGTATATGTGTGGTGGAAGAAAGGATGCTAGTTTCTAGAATATGTGATGACAAATTTAATTTATAGAAAATAAGTTGCTTTTAATTATGACCTGCAATTGTTGCTGCAGGCTTTGCTGAAGATTGATTGCCAAGGGTTAGTAGCGCGTCTCATCCAAGAGGCTGCTATTTTGACTTCAGCTGTCAAGCTTGGAAAAAGCTGGAGGGAACTAGCTGAAAAGTTAGTACGACTCACAAAGCGACAAATGGAGGTGTATGAAATTCCTCACAGAGGAAAAGCTGGAGATGTTGCTGTAGAGGTAAGATTTTTGTTTGTTTAACTAATAGTGAAAAAGTGCAGACCAAGTAAATCAAATGTAATCAAGTGTGCACTGCATACATAGATTGAGGGAATGTCCTAGAAGATACATTCACTGGAGGCACTGCACCTATAACCACTGATATTATCTGAAATATACACACATCACTCTTTAAAGGTATTAAGAACCTTTAAAATATATAGACGTTTCTCCTATTGGATTGCATATTAACATGGCTTTTGATCAAATAAAGTGACCAAGTTAGTGAGGCAGTTAATATGCAGGGCTATAAGAACTTGAGGCAGAGAAGGGAGAAGTTGGGACCTAGCCAGGACAAGGAAAAAGAACATAATAATAAGTATTCATCAGCTTCAGGCCCACACTTAGTCATTTGTGGTAAATAATGTTTGGTGACAAAAAGCATTAAGAGGATAGTTGGTGTGGGGCCACTGGTAATGACAGCTAGAGATATTTGAGAGCATTATCTCCTTCACAGTTTTGCATACAGTAACAACTATAGACATCAAATACAGAACGACAGCATGTAGCACAAAGGAAGTATTTAAAATGCAAATATTGTTTTTATTAATATTAAAACAAATGTATACTTTTAGATATGTTATTTTCTCTATTTACCATAAAGAAATGTGAGTCAATTTTTGTTGACTAAAATAAAAATTTTCCAATGATAAGCATATATAAAATAGTCTGCATCTTTCACACAAGTATAAACATTTTTAGGATATTACAGTTAAGGAGCGATTATCTCTCTGCTTAGATGATGACATGTGAGGAGGTAAAACGTGTATTCTCTACTTCCTTTTCGGGCATAGACCTGAGTCTTAATTACTTGAGAAAATTTTCTTATTTTGAAATAACCTAATCAGCTGAGTATGCAGGACAAGATGACCTTTCCATGAAGGGCCAAGAGTCAAATCAAGTCAGTTGAATCCCAGCAGCTTCAGTGGAAGTCTCAGCAGGCTGGCTTCTGGGTTCCTGGAACCTGTTTCTCTAAACAAGACTGTTTAGCCTGGAGCAGCCAGAGGCTGAGGCCATATTCCTTCCTCATAGTCTACATTTATCTCTAGACACTAAGAAGGGCATTACAACCTACAAATCAGCACTACAAATCAGGACAAACTACACATTTTACTGAATGAAGTAAAGATGAGAAACTTATAAGAAATAAACAAAAGGAGCAAGATTATGTCTGGTATGCTGCTGTGATATTTCACTTAACTGACTAAAACATTGTCTAATTGAGATACTACTGCCCACCTTATAGAGTGGCCCAAATCCGGAACACTGACCACACCAAATGCTGTTGAGGATATGGAGTAACAGAAACCCTCATTCATTGCTGGTCAGAATATACAGTCACTTTGGAAAGCACCTTGGATTTTTTTTGCAAATGAAACTGCTCTTTGTATATGATCTATCAAGCATGCTCATTGGTATTTACCCATAGGAACTGAAGATTTTGTCCACAAAAAAACCCCTGCACTTGAATGTTTATAGCAACTTTATTCATAATTACCAAAACTTGGAAGCAACCAAGATGTCCTTCAGTAGGTGAATCAATAAATAAGTTATGATACAATGGAACATTGTGTGACAATGAAATATTATCCAGCACTAAAAAGAAATGAGCTACAAAGCCATGGAAAGACATGGAGAAACATTAAATGCATGTTACTAAGCAAGAGAACTCAATCTGAAAAGGCTATGTACTACATGATTCCAAATATATGACATTCTGGAAAAGTCAAACTATGAAGACAGTAAAAAGATCAGGTGGCTACCAGTGGTTGGGAAGGAGGGATAAATAGGTAGAGCACAGAGGACTTTTAGGGCAGTGAAAATACTCAGTATGATACCATAATGATGGATACATGTCATTTTACATTTGTCCATACCCACCATGTACAACACCAAGAGCTAACCCTAAAGTACACTAATGATTTTGAGTGATAATCATGTATCAGTGTAGATTAATCACTTGTATAAAATATACCACTGTGATGAAAGATATTGATAGTGGGGAAGGCTATGCATGTGTCAGGGCAGGGGATATATGGGGAATCTCTACCTTCCTCTCAATTTTGCTGTGTACCTAAAATGGCTCTAAGAAAAATCTTTCAAAAAAAGTTGTCTAATTGAAAGCAAGACTTATTTTTTCCTTAATAAGCTCTGTTTTTAAAAAGGTTTTATTGAGAGTTGTTTATCAGAGAGTTTTGGTAAGTATCCAACTTCTCTCTAATTGTGGTTGTTTACAGTTTGTCCTCCCCAAAATCTTCATAGAGGCCAAGAGGCTTCTTTTCCATTATTTACTTTTGCACAGCCCAAATCACAAATGACCAAGTTTATGCTTGAGGCTGATAAATAATCAGGAGCAGAAAGGAAATCCCCTATGTGTCTTTCTAGGGGCTGTTGTTCAAATTATTGTGATTAACACTAACAATCATCACTTTGATCCATGTTATTTGATGTTTAGAAAATAATGCATAGTATATTGGCCTGAAGCTATTCCAAATACTCTATGAGAATCTTTACCTTTTAGGCCACTTAAAGTAATGGCTAAATGTATGCTAACTTCTATCCCCCTGAATAAAAAAAATAGCTGTACAATATTTTTCTCTCAGGAAGGAAATGATTCTTAAATATGATCAATTTACAAGTTAAGCAGTTGATTTCAAAACGTACTTATATTAGTTCCCGGTTGGGTATGCAGAGGGAGGGATTGGAATTGGGGAAGGGAGATAACAAGTTCTCGTGGTTCCCATGCTGCTTTTATTTCCTTTATCTCACATCCTCAGTGGGCACACATTTTGAGAATTTCCTCCTATGTGTGCCAATGCCTACAATCGTGTTTTTCACTGACTTTCCTTCCTTTTCAACTTCTCTCTTTTTCCTTTGTTCTATTTTTATTTTATCTAACAGTTATGTGGCACTTACTCTGTGCCAGGCTCTGTTCTAGTAACATTTCAGAAATTAACTTACTTAATCCTTTCAACAAAAACTTGTGGGGAAGATCCTAATGTTATCTAAGCTGTGGGGAGGCTAAGTAACTTGCTTAAACACCATGGCTAGAAGTCATGGAACCAGGTTTGAACACAGGCTTTGAATTTGGGGTCCTTATACTTTAACCATTACACTCTGCCCACCTACTTCGAATCCAGTATAGTGGCTGAGTGGCAGAGCTGGGAGGTATGGTTAAGCCTGGGGATTTAAACAACTCATTTCACTTTTTCTTTTTTTTCTTTTTTTAAGCCATGTTATGATACTACCAAAATTTGCCTTAGTATCTTCATCAAGCCTCACGCCAATTAAAAAAAGGACATTATTAATAGTATGTCTGTCAGATTTTTCTTGAGTACTTTTCACCACTTCTTATTCTTTTATAAGATGAAAAAGAGCCTTTCTGGAGACTTCTGAGAATGCCACTTTTAAATTAACCATCTCCCTAAGTTAAATTTTAAGAAAAGTTACTCAACTTTTCTAATAACATTGCAATTCCTACATAAAAGCAGAACTATAAAACTTGGAATATGATTATAAGCAAAATATATTTTTCAAAGTATTTCTTAAAATAAACCTATCCTATACAAAGATGTTTAATTATTGCCAAGGTTTTCCTGTGAAATTTAGTAAAAATTAACTGGAGTTTTTCTGAACTTCAATTTAAAAAGTAGGTATCAATGAAATATTATAAAAACAACCCATTTTTAAAAACAGTTGGATTTTGCAAGGGGAAATGCTGGAGATTTCAGGGCTAAGATATTTAGAGGCCTCAGTTAGGTACTCTTCACTTAGCCTTCTGGAGACTGTTACCATTTATGACAATAATTTCCTAGCAACCCTCTCTCATTGTTCCCCCGCCTAATAATAATGATTATGCTCTTTCCATCTTACTCAGTATGGACACTTATTCACCACTTGTTTCACTTTTCCTTCTAAGTTACCCTCTACCAGTGCCCACTGGACTCCACCTCAACCACAGGCACCAATAAACCTGTTGAGGAGGATTTCTTTACTGACCTATCAGAATGGGCCACACAAATGAAGTCAACATTCCTAATTGTAATATTTTTTTCCATCTCAGAAACCACTCACCTGTAGACAGCTGTAACTGGCAAGATAAATGTATAAGTCTTCTTGCTGTCTACACTTAATCAGTGAGGATCTGATTTTCTGCTTTATCTTCTAGCTACAATCTTTGTCCCTCCTCACTTTCTGACTGGCAGCTATAGTGTTCAGAGCACTTTATTCTAAGTCTAGATTGAAAAAGGGAAACAAACAGCCAATTTTATTAGTATTTTTATAGGTAAATGAAAATTCTATATGGCATTCTTCCTACTTGTTACTCTACCCTTGCTGCTATTTAATTCATCCATGCAATTAACATATTTTCTGGGACTATCAGTTCTTAGCTCTGGAGCCCTAGGAACTAGAAAAAACACAAACAGATGAAAAATATGATTGTTTTCCTCTCTAAAGCCAAGTTTTACTTGGCTTGGGAATTGGGATAAACAATATTTGAATTATTATATTTTAAAGAAGTATATGATTAGATACTGAAATAAGTGAATATAACTAGCAGTGAGAATGATAATAGTTATTGTAACCTATTGTGTGTTTACTGAATGTTAGCTAATCATTATGATCATTTTCTCTACAATATCTCATTCATTTCAAAAAACTTTGTAAGGAAGACATTATAACCATCCTCTTTTTATAAATATGCAAACTGAGAGTGAATGCATTGGTGTAAGTTATCCAGAATTACATGCTTGTTAAGTGACTGAACTAGAATTTAAATCCAGGTTTGTTTTACACACTGTTCTATTCACTGTGCTCTACTAATGCTAAGTCCTTTCAGAGTTAACTAAATAATAAAAGATCAAAATGGCAGGAGCTGTTAGAGGGCACATCCTAGTCCTGAAGGATGGGTAACATTTGAATAATTGGAGAGGACCAGAAGGGGATTTCTGTGCTTCTGG